GGAATTAATTATACATTTTTGTAATGCCGGCTTACTTAACTTTTGCGCTGGGAAAATCTTTCTTTTGTCATCTTGGTAATTAGTGGGGTTAATTAGCCGTGGTGTTGCCTCACGCCCGCTCATTGGTTAGCGTCACCGTCCAGGCAAACTTGAATGGTCCACCGTCGAGAGCAAGAAAAAGTGTCATTGGGCGGAGGAGCAGCGAAGAGCCCAGTGATTGGCTGCCGCCAATAAAGGTGCGTCGAGAGGTGAAGATGGACTTGACGTCCATCTTCGGATCCGCGCGACTCCTGACCGCGAACAACGCGCTGCATCCGACTCCTCGCGAACGCTCCCCCCTCCCCTTGTCCGTCCCCACCAACCCGCGAGAAACATAAACAACACGCGCCGTAGGGAGGGGGGCGGGGGAAGAAATCCCTCCCGCAATTCCCCCTGAGAGAAAATCCTGACAGAACAGAGCCCACCTGAACTAATAACTTAGTTACGAGAAGCTGATTTTTTCATCACCTCCCAACTCGAATCTCGCCTCTTTTTATTCGTCTTCCTCCCTCTCTCAACCTCAGAAGAAATTTGTAATTAGGCGAAAACTTTGTGTGAGGCATGGCGGGGGGGGGGGGGGGGGGGGGGGGGGGGGAGGGAGACGAGGGAGGGAGCTGGGGGAAGACGGAGTTTTTTCCCTGGGACGGTGGGGTTTTTTCCCCTGACACCCATTATGAATTAATCATCTGGAGGTATACTGGCATTAAAAAGCTTTTAGCCCTAATCAAGGCCCAGGCGCAACCAAATGCATCAATTAAGATTTCTTTAACACATCTTTCTACTTTGCCCTCGTCCAACTTTTTTTCAGTAACAAAAAAAAATATTTTTTAGACGCAAGGAAGGGACCTTTTTTCTTGTTTATTGTCAAGACGAATTCTTAAAAGAAGATCACCGTTATATATATATATATATATATATATATATATATGATAGCCGAGGCTATATGAACCACTTCCCCGCCGGCACTCGGATGGTAATCTTGGGCATAGCATTTTATCAAATAATCACGACCTTATGTCCGGTCGTGATGGTCAAGCGGATTAAGGCGTCCCTGTACATATATATATATATATATATTTTTTTTTTTTCCAGTATATGTGGCTGAATTTAAAGTATTTTAATACATGTGGCTCTAGCTACTGATACACTACTGTATTTTAATATATGGCTGAAATTATTGAATGCTGAAATATATATGTGCTGCAAAAAAGTGAGTAATGATAAAGAAAACAATACAATGACAAGTATTAAAGTAACAAACATAAATAACTTATTTTATTAAAACTAAAATACACGCAAGTCCTCATTATAAATTATGAGATACGATGCAGAATATTTTGCCAAATAATTATATATAATTTGCAGGCATAAAGTGTAACTTGCACTTATTATATATGTGTGTGTATATTAAAATTTACACAATTTCTGTGTCACACTTGGCTTCTCTACAGCTCCCTAAATCAAGAACAGACCAGCAAACGAGGTGGCACAGATGGCTACCAGAACATGTGAATACCAGAACATGTGACTACCAGAACATGTGACTACCAGAAGATGTGACTACCAGAAGATGTGACTACCAGAAGATGTGACTACCAGAGCATGTGATTACCAGAACATGTGACACTGCCACATGTAACTACCAGATCAATGTTCCCCTTGCACGAATATATATATATATATATATATATATATATATATATATATATATATATATATATATATATATATATATATATATATCAATTTCCACGCTCGCCTGATCCCAAACAAGCAAACTGGTGAAGCTTGTCTTAGCAACAGACCATACAACTAAACCATACAACCACTGCAACAAACTACCTCATCAATGAACTATTAGCAACCACACGACATCCACCACACCCCAAGCAGCCCCACCCTGCAAAAGACAGCAGTACATAAGTGCTAATAATAATAATAATAATAATAATAATAATAATAATAATAATAATAATAATAATAATAATAATAATAATAATTCCCACACTATACTTCAGATTAACGTCACCTTCACGTAAATTGTGTCCACCGGCGAAGGATGAGAGAAGCTCAAGGCTCAGTACAATAAAGTATAATATATATATTATATAATATATATAATATAATATATATATATATATATATATATATATATATATATATATATATATATATATATATATATTTATTACATAAGATATTTCAGATATTTCACATGAAATTTCGGGAAAGACATGCTTATGCTTCAAGTACATTTGCTGTTAAGTCTTCATGAAGTATTTTAGAGCTGGCGGTTAGGTTTACTCTGGATTTTACAGCGGGTAATCTTATTGATTCAGCTGGCGTTTACGACTCTCTTACGGCCTGTAAACCTTCCCACTAGCAAACTGTTTATAACCTACGATACCATCTTACGATACCATCTTAGCTTACGATATCATCTTGACTAACAATCGCATCTTACGATATCATCTTGATATGGGTTGACTGCATTAACGCGCATAGTCAGGCTTCCCCGTCTCCCACAACTCAGTTTCTACCCCCGTTAACAAGTCTTAATAATATCCTTCATGGGAAAGCAAGAATAGTAGACACTCTAGGTTCACCTAGAGTGTACCGCATTTAAAACACCTACATCAGAGTTAAGAACATTCTGTTCTTAATATGAAGAACATTCTGTTCTTAATAACACGAGTATTAATAACAGTTAATTTACAGCAAATTAACTGGTTACGTTACCATTGTTCACTTAGTGGAGCATTGCCATATTTGCCATATTTTGACACTTTCCTTGGCATGACTACAAATAGATTTTACGATGCCAAAGAACATAAAATTTATCATTATTTTTTTCTGTTATTTTCACAACATTTTGTGTCACTTGTGTAAATTATACATTACTTATTGCACGTTCGAATTGCAACATTTCTCTCCACTTACCTGTAGAAGTGCAGGTATAACTTGGAAGCTTATTCAGTATCACGATGCATTAGGCATTAATTTACGGGACGTTTGAATTGTCAAGTGTATAATTAGGTTCCAAACGTTTCAGCAAAACGAGTCCACTAATTTTATTCTGGATGAAACGACTTCGTCTGTGCATCTGTATAGATGTATAGATATACACGTGTGTATTACACGATTGTCCATTACACGACTTGACAATGATCCAAGACGGACCATTGTCAAGAAATGGTTAAATGTCGTTACTTAGTGTTTTGATGTGTGGTTTAGTCATTATATACATATGTAGTCCTGTCATGTACACTGTTATGTACACTGTCTTGTACACTGTCATGTACACTACCATGTACACTGTCTAACAACGTGAGATAAGTCGTTGGGCAAGAACGCCAAATTAGTGGCCAGCACTTTATGACTCAAAGTTGTTTATAGTATCTTCAATGATAGTATCATCATTATTATTTATTATCTCCAATACAACAATACAATGAAAATAATGAGGGACCATGGAAGTCATGATACACATCATGAGACCCTAATACAATGACTACAGTCCACGCAAACCTTCACAAGCAATTCTAAGATTTTGTAAAAAAAAATCTTACTTCGTTAATACTTTAATACGTTAATGGAACTTTTTTTTTTAGCGCAATGTTGTATAATTGAATTTATTATTATCCAATGTGAAGGTGTTGTTCAAAGAAAAACTAATAACATAAGAACTATTCATATATCAACAGAGAAATATGAGAACAATGCACTTATCAACACAAGATCAACATGAGAACATGATCAACACTTATCAACACAAGATAAACATGGAACAACATAAGAACGGCGCACTAGCCGACAACAGCTGAACCAATGTGAGTCAATTTATGTGCAACGTCCAATTCTCTGATAAAATAATAAAATAGAAATATTAGTCCATATTTTGTTCAATAAAAAGTGAATATAAAACCCGAATATTTAAATCACTTGCTTTCAGATGGGCTTCACAATGTTTCTTATTACTCCCAGAGTACAACTATTTTTAACTCATTCATTACAATAATAAAAAAAAAATATTTATACACCCAACTCACACATCTGAAAATATAGGAAGTCGCGACGTTTAGGTCCACAACGTGAGAATGGTCCACGACAGACCGAAACGTTGCTTAACTTTCAGATGTGTGAGTTGGGCGTCTGAATGTTCAGCCATGTTGTTATTTAAGTTCTGCAGAATATTATGTTCATCTAATTTAACAAAGTGAGAACAAAAATTCTTAAAAATTTAAGAATATTTCTGCTCTGTGAGTGTTGCAAATACAAATACTAGATTTATTGTTTTATTTATCTCTGTTTTGTATTAAATATACTTTACATACAATTTTGCTATCCAAAAGTGTTAAATAATAAATAATACGGAATACTTGAGTGTTTTCTTCTACTATCCCTACCTTGTTATTATTTATACAATATGATTTATTGATTTTATATATTTTATTATATAAATATATATATATATATATATATATATATATATATATATACATATATATATATATATATATATATATATATATATATATATATATATATATTATATATATATAATGTTTTAATGCTTATATAAATTTTTATGTGATTTTATAGATTCTCTCCCGTAGAGGGAAAATTTATTTAAGAAATAATTTTGAATTTGATGTAATAAAATAAAATACAAGCTGAATTTAGAAGCCTACAAAATTTAGAAGCCTACAAAATTTAGAAGCCTACAAAATTTAGAAGCCTACAAAATTTAGAAGCCTACAAAATTTAGAAGCCTACAAAATTTAGAAGCCTACAAAATTTAGAAGCCTATGCTTATTGACCAAATAATTGCTGATCATTTCAATCATCTTTTAATATAACAATTGACGATTTTGATGACAGTGTTCAGATTTGATGGAGACGATGAAGAAGACTTCAAAATATAGCAATAAACGTCGACGAAAGTGACCACTCCGCCCGCC